AGTGGGGTTAATAGAGATAACAGTAGCATGTCTCTCCAGCAGTGTGTATGATAGTGGGGTTAATAGAGATAACAGTAGCATGTCTCTCCAGCAGTGTGTATGATAGTGGGGTTAATAGAGATAACAGTAGCATGTCTCTCCAGCAGTGTGTATGATAGTGGGGTTAATAGAGATAACAGTAGCATGTCTCTCCAGCAGTGTGTATGATAGTGGGGTTAATAGAGATAACAGTAGCATGTCTCCAGCAGTGTGTATGATAGTGGGGTTAATAGAGATAAATAGTAGCATGTCTCCAGCAGTGTGTATGATAGTGGGGTTAATAGAGATAACAGTAGCATGTCTCCAGCAGTGTGTATGATAGTGGGGTTAATAGAGATAACAGTAGCATGTCTCTCCAGCAGTGTGTATGATAGTGGGGTTAATAGAGATAACAGTAGCATGTCTCTCCAGCAGTGTGTATGATAGTGGGGTTAATAGAGATAACAGTAGCATGTCTCTCCAGCAGTGTGTATGATAGTGGGGGTTAATAGAGATAACAGTAGCATGTCTCTCCAGCAGTGTGTATGATAGTGGGGTTAATATAGATAACAGTAGCATGTCTACAGCAGTGTGTATGATAGTGGGGTTAATAGAGATAACAGTAGCATGTCTCCAGCAGTGTGTATGATAGTGGGGTTAATAGAGATAACAGTAGCATGTCTACAGCAGTGTGTATGATAGTGGGGTTAATAGAGATAACAGTAGCATGTCTCTCCAGCAGTGTGTATGATAGTGGGGTTAATAGAGATAACAGTAGCATGTCTACAGCAGTGTGTATGATAGTGGGGTTAATAGAGATAACAGTAGCATGTCTCCAGCAGTGTGTATGATAGTGGGGTTAATAGAGATAACAGTAGCATGTCTACAGCAGTGTGTATGATAGTGGGGTTAATAGAGATAACAGTAGCATGTCTCTCCAGCAGTGTGTATGATAGTGGGGTTAATAGAGATAACAGTAGCATGTCTCCAGCAGTGTGTATGATAGTGGGGGTTAATAGAGATAACAGTAGCATGTCTCCAGCAGTGTGTATGATAGTGGGGTTAATAGAGATAACAGTAGCATGTCTCTCCAGCAGTGTGTATGATAGTGGGGTTAATAGAGATAACAGTAGCATGTCTCTCCAGCAGTGTGTATGATAGTGGGGTTAATAGAGATAACAGTAGCATGTCTACAGCAGTGTGTATGATAGTGGGGTTAATAGAGATAACAGTAGCATGTCTCTCCAGCAGTGTGTATGATAGTGGGGTTAATAGAGATAACAGTATTATGTCTCTCCAGCAGTGTGTATGATAGTGGGGTTAATAGAGATAACAGTAGCATGTCTCTCCAGCAGTGTGTATGATAGTGGGGTTAATAGAGATAACAGTAGCATGTCTCTCCAGCAGTGTGTATGATAGTGGGGTTAATAGAGATAACAGTAGCATGTGTTAGGGGTTAGACTCTAACCAAGTTGGCCTAGCTAGAAGTTGGCCTAAAGGCTAGTGGTTAGACTCTAACCAAGTTGGCCTAACTAGCAGTTGGCCTAAAGGCTAGTGGTTAGACTAAAACCAAGTTGGCCTAACTAGAAGTTGGCCTAAAGGCTAGTGGTTAGACTCTAACCAAGTTGGCCTAACTAGAAGTTGGCCTAAAGGCTAGTGGTTAGACTCTAACCAAGTTGGCCTAACTAGAAGTTGGCCTAAAGGCTAGTGGTTAGACTATAACCAAGTTGGCCTAACTAGAAGTTGGCATAAAGGCTATGGGTTCGACTCTAACCAAGTTGGCCTAACTAGAAGTTGGCCTAACTGCTAGGGGTTAGACTCTAACCAAGTTGGCCTAACTAGAAGTTGGCATAAAGGCTATGGGTTCGACTCTAACCAAGTTGGCCTAACTAGAAGTTGGCCTCAAATCCCAAAGAGAAAAATGTGACTGTGCAGAGAAATGGAGAGACGGGAAAAGGTAAACTAGTCATTCAAAGGGTTAATTTAATTAAGTAACTTAAGTAAGTTTAAATGTTTAAATGCAGGGGGGCATGTGCGTAATGTGTGAAATCAAACCAATCAGACATAAAGGTGTATTTCAGTGAGAACGTGATGCTTTGAGAAATGTAGCACGTTCCGTGAATGCTCATGTACCAATGACATGAACGTGGCCTTGTGCACTGGGTCATAATTAGATTTTGCTGCTTCACTGTTTAGCATGGCATACATCGACACCTCTCTTTTCCACATCGTTTTGTGAAATGTATTTTTGGTGTTTTAGAGACATTTTAAACACAACCAGATTCTTTGGGGGTTTTGTGGAAACCAAATTTCCTCTCTCGTATGGATTTCCTCAGTTTGCCGTTACAAATCTAGTTGACACCAATCTTTATTTCATTTAGGATAACTGCGGCGGCGGTTAGGCTAGAATGCCTTAATAATGGCCCTCAAAGTATACTGTAGTCATATAAACCTTTTCTATTTTAATCCAACCCTTTCTGTCTTGATTTTAAATCTATATTTGTCCTCCTCAATCATTTGTAAGGTATTAAAGTGAAAGAACTATAATTCAGACCTAGATTAGGTTTAGGTGGTCTACAGTAACATTGCTGTGCCAGATTAGGTTTAGGTGGTCTATAGTAACATTGCTGTGCCAGATTAGGTTTAGAAGGTCTACAGTAACATTGCTGTGCCAGATTAGGTTTTGGTGGTCTACAGTAACATTGCTGTGACAGATTAGGTTTAGGTGGTCTATAGTAACATTGCTGTGCCAGATTAGGTTTAGGTGGTCTATAGTAACATTGCTGTGCCAGATTAGGTTTAGGTGGTCTATAGTAACATTGCTGTGACAGATTAGGTTTAGGTGGTCTATAGTAACATTGCTGTGAGAGATTAGGTTTAGGTGGTCTATAGTAACATTGCTGTGCCAGATTAGGTTTAGGTGGTCTATAGTAACATTGCTGTGCCAGATTAGGTTTAGGTGGTCTATAGTAACATTGCTGTGCCAGATTAGGTTTAGGTGGTCTATAGTAACATTGCTGTGACAGATTCGGTTTAGGTGGTCTATAGTAACATTGCTGTGACAGATTAGGTTTAGGTGGTCTATAGTAACATTGCTGTGCCAGATTAGGTTTAGGTGGTCTATAGTAACATTGCTGTGACAGATTAGGTTTAGGTGGTCTATAGTAACATTGCTGTGCCAGATTAGGTTTAGGTGGTCTATAGTAACATTGCTGTGCCAGATTAGGTTTAGGTCTGTCTGTCTGTCTGTCTGTCTGTCTGTCTGTCTGTCTGTCTGTCTGTCTGTCTGTCTGTCTGTCTGTCTGTCTGTCTGTCTGTCTGTCTGTCTGTCTGTGTCTCTCTCTCTCTCTCTCTCTCTCTGTCTGTGATCTGTCTGTCTGTGATCTGTCAGTCTGTGATCTGTCTGTCAGTCTGTGATCTGTCTGTCAGTCTGTGATCTGTCTGTCAGTATGTGATCTGTCTGTCAGTATGTGATCTGTCTGTCAGTCTGTGATCTGTCTGTCTGTCTGTGATCTGTCTGTCTGTCTGTGATCTGTCTGTCAGTCTGTGATCTGTCTGTCATCTGTCTGTCTGTGATATGTCTGTCTGTGATCTGTCTGTGATCTGTCTGTCAGTCTGTGATCTGTGTTTGTCTGTCTCTCTCTAACTGCCTATGATCATTCCTGCTACTCTTTACATCTGTCTACCTGTATATTTGTTATCTTAACTTGTCTGTGTGTGTGTGTGTGTGTGTGTGTGTGTGTGTGTGTGTGTGTGTGTGTGTGTGTGTGTGTGTGTGTGTGTGTGCGTACTTGCGTCTGTCTGTGTGTCTGTCTGTGTGTTCCAGACGTTGATGAATGTAGCAGCGGGGAGAACCTGTGCCAGAGGAACGCTGACTGTATCAACAGCCCTGGGAGCTACCGCTGTGAATGCTCAGAGGGCTTCAATCTCTCCCCCATAGGAGCCTGCATCGGTGAGACAACAGACTCCCCACACAGGCTGCGTCCCTCACGTACCCTATGCCCTGCATATGTGCACTGACCAGGGCTCATAGGGCTCTGGTCCAAAGTAGTGCACTATATAGGGAATAGGGTGCTATTTGGGATGTAAATGAAGTGATTCTCACCAGTCTGTCTTTGTCCTGGTGTGACCTATGAGACCAGCTGTAGGTCCAGATGCATTGTGGACAGGCAGCGACCGCTAACACCATATTTAACCCAATGTCTCCCCCCCATTGTGATCCTTGGCAGGCCCGGGGCCCTGCCTTGTAAGAGAGCACTAAGCTAATGCACCCTGTGGTCTCGACCCCTCTCTCTTTTCTTGTATTTCTCCTCCTACCGTTGGGAAGACCGCAACGAGTGTCTGGAGATCCACAACCTGTGTAGCCATGGCGAGTGCGTGGACATCCAGGGGGGCTACGAGTGCCGGTGTCACCACGGCTTCAAGGCTACGCCCAACCGCAGGATGTGCATGGGTGAGAACTTCAGCGCTTTCTGGAAAACACTTCAGGCTCTCGCTTTCAACGGAGGCCAATGTAATCGATCCGAAATGGAGACCGTTCAAAATACCATTTTCACCTTCTGTTTTGGAATATTGTGGTTGTCCTGCCCTTAGATATTTTTTTTGTTACTTAGATCATGTCTTTCCACTCCATTTGAGATAATTGTCTGAAATATTTTGTAGTTACAACATCATCATTTTTTCTGTCTGTCTCCAGATGTCGACGAGTGCGAGCGGTTGCCTTGTCGGAACGGGACCTGCAAGAACACGGTGGGCTCCTTCAACTGTCTGTGCCACACCGGGTTTGAGCTTTCACACCACAACGACTGCATGGGTGAGCACCACTGTCCCCTGGTTCATCTAAAGATGTCTTCCTACCAAGGAAGATTTTCCTGCCCCCGTTCTAGGCATGTTCTTTGAGGTTTTACATCCCAAAGAAATACTTTATGACAAATGCATTTGCAAAAATCTCTTTGGAATTAGAACTTGTATTCAAATAAAGTTTCAATGTGCCGGTGCTAACAAAAGGGCATCAACTTTTATTTTTTTGGAATATAACTTTTATTCACTCTTGTATTGATGTGCTGTTTTGTGTTGTGGTTGGCAGATATTGACGAGTGCCAGACGTCCTTTGGCACGCTGTGCAGGAAAGGCCAGTGTATCAACAGTGTGGGCTCCTTCCAATGTCTGTGTGAGGAGGGCTACGAGCTAACCCCTGACGCCAAGAATTGTATGGGTAAGAACTGTCCTACTTTACTGTATGGATAAGAACTGTCCTACTCTACTGTATGGATAAGAACTGTCCTACTCTACTGTATGGATAAGAACTGTCCTACTCTACTGTATGGGTAAGAACTGTCCTACTCTACTGTATGGATAAGAACTGTCCTACTCTACTGTATGGGTAAGAACTGTCCTACTCTACTGTATGGATAAGAACTGTCCTACTCTACTGTAATGGTAAGAGCTGTCCTACTCTACTGTATGGATAAGAACTGTCCTACTCTACTGGTAAGAGCTGTCCTACTCTGTCCTACTCTACTTTACTGTATGGATAAGAACTGTCCTACTTTACTGTATGGATAAGAACTGTCCTACTCTATTGTATGGGTAAGAACTGTCCTACTTTAGTGTATGGATAAGAACTGTCCCACTTTACTGTATGGATAAGAACTGTCCTACTCTATTGTATGGGTAAGAACTGTCCTACTTTAGTGTATGGATAAGAACTGTCCCACTTTACTGTATGGATAAGAACTGTCCTACTCTACTGTATGGATAAGAACTGTCCTACTTTAGTGTATGGATAAGAACTGTCCTACTTTACTGTATGGATAATAACTGTCCTACTCTACTGTATGGATAAGAACTGTCCTACTCTACTGTATGGATAAGAACGGTCCTACTCTACTGTATGGATAAGAACTGTCCTACTTAACTGTATGGATAAGAACTGTCCTACTCTACTGTAATGGTAAGAGCTGTCCTACTCTACTGTATGGATAAGAACTGTCCTACTCTACTGTATGGATAAGAACTGTCCTACTTTACTGTATGGATAGGAACTGTCCTACTCTACTGTATGGATAAGAACTGTCCTACTCTACTGTATGGATAAGAACTGTCCTACTCTACTGTATGGATAAGAACTGTCCTACTCTACTGTATGGATAAGAACTGTCCTACTCTACTGTAATGGTAAGAACTGTCCTACTTTACTGTATGGATAAGAACTGTCCCACTTTACTGTATGGATAAGAACTGTCCTACTTTACTGTATGGATAAGAACTGTCCTACTTTACTGTATGGATAGGAACTGTCCTACTGTACTGTATGGATAAGAACTGTCCTACTTTACTGTATGGATAAGAACTGTCCTACTCTATTGTATGGGTAAGAACTGTACTACTTTAGTGTATGGATAAGAACTGTCCCACTTTACTGTATGGATAAGAACTGTCCTACTCTATTGTATGGGTAAGAACTGTCCTACTTTAGTGTATGGATAAGAACTGTCCTACTCTACTTTACTGTATGGATAAGAACTGTCCTACTTTACTGTGTGGATAATAACTGTCCTACTCTACTGTATGGATAAGAACTGTCCTACTCTACTGTATGGATATGAACTGTCCTACTTTACTGTATGGATAAGAACTGTCCTACTCTACTGTATAGATAAGAACTGTCCTACTTAACTGTATGGATAAGAACTGTCCTACTTAACTGTATGGATAAGAACTGTCCTACTTAACTGTATGGATAAGAACTGTCCTACTTAACTGTATGGATAATAACTGTCCTACTTAACTGTATGGATAATAACTGTCCTACTTAACTGTATGGATAAGAACTGTCCTACTCTACTGTATGGATAAGAACTGTCCTACTTAACTCTATGGATAAGAACTGTCCTACTCTACTGTATGGATAAGAACTGTCCTACTTAACTCTATGGATAAGAACTGTCCTACTCTACTGTATGGATAATAACCTACTCTACTGTATGGATAAGAACTGTCCTACTCTACTGTATGGATAAGAACTGTCCTACTCTACTGTATGGATAAGAACTGTCCTACTCTACTGTATGGATAAGAACTGTCCTACTCTACTGTATGGATAAGAACTGTCCTACTCTACTGTAATGGTAAGAGCTGTCCTACTCTACTGTATGGATAAGAACTGTCCTACTCTACTGTATGGATAATAACCTACTCTACTGTATGGATAAGAACTGTCCTACTCTACTGTATGGATAAGAACTGTCCTACTCTACTGTATGGATAAGAACTGTCCTACTCTACTGTATGGATAAGAACTGTCCTACTCTACTGTATGGATAAGAACTGTCCTACTCTACTGTATGGATAAGAACTGTCCTACTCTACTGTATGGATAAGAACTGTCCTACTCTACTGTATGGATAAGAACTGTCCTACTCTACTGTATGGATAAGAACTGTCCTACTCTACTGTATGGATAAGAACTGTTCTACTCTACTGTATGGATAAGAACTGTTCTACTCTACTGTATGGATAAGAACTGTCCTACTCTACTGTATGGATATGAACTGTCCTACTCTACTGTATGTCGTTCACAGTTGTAGCATAGGCTACTTTAACATGATGGGTACTCAGCTTCATAACAGCTTCGTAACATATTTCTAATGTAATAAATATTATTAGAACTATTATTAGGATGATATATCTATTTTGGTAACACTTAACAATAAGGTCACCTTTACAAGTGGTTTATAAGGTGTTATTTTAAAGTGTTACTGCTGTTTCTTTATGCTCATACCATTAACCAAAGGTCAAGGTATGCCAGATAAAACATTTTCAAAACATTTCAGTACTAAAGTTGTGGTATTTTAACCCAGTGTTTCACGTGTTACCCTACTAATTATCCTCCAACGCTTTCCTCAATTTCTCCAGATGTGAACGAGTGTGTGATCTTCCCCAGGACATGCACTCCCGGAACTTGCCAGAACCTGGACGGCACCTTCCGTTGTCTCTGTCCCCCGGGCTACATCGTCCAGAACGAGCAGTGTATAGGTGAGGTTTCGTCTAACCCTGGCTACATCACCATGCTACATAGTTGTTGGAAAGAAATGTGTTTGACCAAATACAATGCTATTTCTCTGTAAACAAATTAACAACAGACTTTCATCATGCTTATAGAGAAGGGCACTCAACATGTACTGCACTGACACAAATGACTGATGATTGGTTGAAAGAAATTGATAATAAGAAGATTGTGGGAGCTGTTCTGTTATAATTCAGTGCAGCCTTTAATATTATTGACCGTAAAAAAAAAAAAACGTATGTGTTATGGCTTTTCAACCTCTGCCGTATTGTGGATTCAGAGCTATCTACAGTGAGGGAAAAAATACTTATTTCCCTCATTAAAATGCAAATCATTTTATAACATTTTTGACATGCGTTTTTCTGGATTTTTGTGTTGTTATTCTGTCTCTCACTGTTCAAATAAACCTACCATTAAAATTATAGACTGATCATTTCTTTGTCAGTGGGCAAACGTACAAAATCAGCAGGGGATCAAATCGTTTTTTCCCTCACTGTATCTAATAGAACTCAGAGGGTTTTCTTTAATGGAAGCTTCTTTAATGTCAAACATTTAAAGTGTGGTGTACCACAGGGCAGCTCTCTAGGCCCTCTACTACCCCTCACAGCTCCGTAGGCAAGCACCATGGTCTTGTAGCATGCCACCAGGGGTCTTTTCACAGTTCCCAGGTCGAGAACAAATTCAAGGAAACATACAGTATTATACAGAGCCATGAGTGCATGGAACTCCCTTCCATCTTATATAGCGCAAGTGAACAGCAAACCTGGTTTTTAAAAAACTAATAGAGCAACACACACACACACACACTACATGTTAATGTTTTGTACACACACACACTACATGTTAATGTAAATTGTAAAGTATATTGTCTGTAATGTCTTTTTCGTTATGTGTTTGACCCCAGTAAGACTATCTGTCGCTAACGGGGATCCTAATGAACGTAAACAGTCTAGAGCGACCAGCGTATAGGTGAGGATCCGTTCCCTCCGCTAGGCCCCGGGGAGCCTGTACTGTACCATCAGGAAGTCAAAACATGAAGAGGAATCATGCTTGAAGAAACCATTTTTGTCGAGAGGTCCAACGTTCCATGCAACACCTGCCACTCTTTGACTGCAGGAGACGGGTTTTAGCAAACATTTGTGCGTAATTGTATGCGAGTGTAGTCCCACTCTGTCCATTCGTAAGACATAGTAGACTGTGGTGTACCATATTACTTTCACACCACATACTGGGTTCCCCAATTTGGCCACGACAATGACGTATCACTCCTCTCCCAGCACCCTCTGCTTCAGTTGATGTTTCCCTGGGTTCAGTGCTAGAGCCTTCTAAATACCTCTCTCTTCACTCTCCACACTCTGCGTGGGCCAGACCTGGGTTCAAGATACTATTTAAAATCTGTCAAATACTTTGAATGTGCCAGGTGACACTTTGCTTCTTGAAAGTCCAATATCTAGAAAACTTGACTGTTGATATACAAAACATTTTGGGACTTTATCAACAGTGTACAAATTAGTAAAATAGGAAAATATAGTTTGCCTTTAAGTACAGCTGAAGTATTTGACATTTTTTTCCAATAGTATTTGAACCCAGGTCTGGTGTGTTCTGTGAGGACTATCCACACAGAGGCATCCATTTTGTAACAGTAATGACAGTTTGCCCCTTTTTTCCTCTTGCAGATGTCAACGAGTGTGAAGAAGACCCTAACATCTGCCTGTTTGGCTCCTGCTTCAACAACCCGGGCAGTTTCCAGTGTGTGTGCAGGCCTGGCTTCGTGCTGTCTGAGAACGGTCGCAGGTGTTACGGTATGTAGGGGCCAACCAGAATGGTGTCAAAACAGCGCTGAGAGTTTGGCGTATGAGGATAGTTAGACAACAAAAGGTTTTGTAAGGAAGGTTTGTTGGGTCATATTGTTTGTGGATGTTGGCACTGCTACAGCACTCATTTCCAACATTTTACTTTCCAACAATATTGTGGTATTGTCACAGTATACCACAGCTTTCAGCCAATCAAAGTACTGCACAATGTTTTTTCAACCCTGCTTTGTTTGTTTTGTTGCGTTGTTGGTGGAAAGCCCAATAAACACAGTGGAAGATTTGTATGTTGTTGTGGGCCAGTTTTTAGCCTCTGACCAGCCTCTCTCTGTCTGTCTCTGTTGCTCTCTCTCTCTGTCTGTCTCTCTTTTCATCTCTCTAGACACCAGAGAGAGTTACTGCTTCACCCGCTTTGAGAACGGCAAGTGCTCGGTGCCTCAGGCCTTCAACACCAGCAAGGCCAAGTGTTGCTGCAGCACCATGCCCAAGGAGGGCTGGGGAGACCCCTGTGAACTTTGCCCCAAGAAGCAGGATGGTAGGAGTCCACACACACACACACACACACACACACACACACACACACAAAACCATATTTAGCAGCTTGGGTTTGACAAAAACAGCATTCTATTTTGGATTGAGACCCATCCCTACTCCCTAAACTGTGTCTTGATCCACTGGGCACAAACTGGTTGAATCAATGTTGTTTCCACATCATTTAAATAAATAAAAAATATGTGATGAATTTGAATCAACGTGGAAAACTAATTGGATTTGCAAAGGTCATCAAGGCAAAGGAATTTCGTGAATTTTTTTCACCCACATTTGATCCCAAATCCAATGATTTCACGCTGTTGATTTCACGTTGAATTCACATTAGTTGACAACTCATTCAAATGTAAATAAAAATTAGACGTTGAACTGACGTCTGTGCGCACCCTTACAGAAAAACAACATGATTTCACGTGGGAAATCACATGATTTCACAATATGTACACATGCAGTTTTATGTTATCACATGTTGCTTTACATGTTGTCACATGTTATCACATTAACTTCACATAAGATCACATGAAAAAAACATGAAAACGTGTTTTTGGAACACTTCACGTGTGATCATGTGAAATTCATGTGGTTATTCCATAAGAGCAGTGGGGATTGAATAGAGTCCATAGTCAGACTCAATTCAGAATGATTGAGTTAGAAATATTAATATTGTTATAATTTTTTCTCCATCAGTGGCGTTCCAGCACCTGTGTCCCTTCGGCCATGGCATAATCACTGGGATTGGAGACACACGCATAGGTAACTCACCCACATTAAAGATATGTGAGGTACAGTGTGAAAAGTTACTGTGATTTATGTTTTGAGAGAGAATGATATCGCTTTAAAGGTTTTGTTTTATGTTGAACCTTTGACGAGGTGACATGAAACAGCATGAATGTGATTGGATAGAACTATGATTTCAACTATAACCACAATGAATAGGAATGATGAATAATGTTGGGATGGATAATACTCTTAACATTGCACTTCTTTGGGAATCTCCAGACCTGAATGAGTGTGTGGAGAACCCAGGCATCTGTCACAACGGCCACTGTATCAACACAGACGGCTCCTTCCGCTGCGAGTGTCCCATGGGCTACACCCTCAACTACACTGGAGTACACTGCATTGGTAAGGCCCAATCCTATACAATACAGCTATTCTATAATAATGAACAGCCTATAGAGTTAACAGGAAACCTGTTACACAGTCAACCATACTGGGCTACACTGTATCGGTGAAACACAATCCTATTTTTTTTTCTTTATATATATATATATATATTCAAGTTTTATAACAACTCACATAGCAGTCAATACAAACTGAAATCCATGAGCATTTAGACAATTAAAAAAAGACATGTTAGAACCAGATCTCTTTAGTTTCCCTTTCATTGTATTTTATTAACGTTAGGAGAGGAGCAGAAGGCGCTAAACCAATGTGAGATGAGGTGCCGCCCCAAAATAATACGAGCATTAGGAAGAAAAAGGTGCAACTTTATTCACGTTACACATTGGCAGCTAAGAGCTGAATTCCAGTCTAACCTACAGTGCATACTGCATTTACATTTTTACATTTACGTCATTTAGCAGACGCTCTTATCCAGAGCGACTTACAGTTAGTGAGTGCATACATTTTGTTGTTTTTTTGGGGGGGGTTTTCATACTGGCCCCCCGTGGGAAACGAACCCACATCCCTGCCGGCCAAACCCTCCCCTACCTTGGACGACGCTGGACCAATTGTGCACCGCCCATGGGTCTCCCGGTCGCGGCCGGCTGCGACAGAGCCTGGACTCGAACCAGGATCTCTAGTGGCACAGCTAGCACTGCGATGGAGTACCTAGCCTAAATACACTGAACAAAAATATAAACGCAAACATGTAAAGTGTTGGTCCCATGTTTCATGAACCGAAATAAAAGATCCCAGAAATGTTCCATTCGCACAAATTTGTTTACATCCCTGTTAGTGAGCATTTCTCCTATGCCAAGATAATTTCTCTACCATAAGCCGCCTCCAACATCATTTTAGAGAATTTGGCAGTACGTCCAACCGGCCTCACAAGCACAGACCACGTGTAACCACGCCAGCCCAGGACCTCCTCAGCTAGCTTCTTCACCTGTGGGATTGTGTGAGACCAGCCACCTGGACAGCTGATGAAACTGTGAGTTTGCGCAACCGTCTCGGGGAAGCTCATCTGCATGCTCGTCGTCCTCACCAGGGTCTGGATCGGACTGCAGTTCGGCGTCGTAACCGACTTCAGTGGGCAAATGCTCACCTTCGATGGCCACTGGCACGCTGGAGAAGTGTGCTCTTCACGGATGAATCCCGGTTTCAACTGTACCGGGCAGATGGCAAACAGAATGTATGTTTGCTGATGTCAACATTGTGAACAGAGTGCCCCATAGTGTCAGTGGGGTTATGGCATGGGCAGGTATAAGCTACGGACAACGAACACAATTGCATTTTATCTATGGCAATTTGAATGCGCAGAGATACCGTGACGAGATCCTGAGGACAATTTTCGTGCCATTCATCCGCCGCCATCACCTCATGTTTCGCCATGATAATGCACAGCCCCATGTCGCAAAGATCTGTACACAATTCCTGGAAGCAGAAAATGTCCCATGTACCAGACTGTTTTTTTATCCACGCCCCTACTTTTTTTTCAAGGTATCTGTGACCAACAGATGCATATCTGTATTCCCAGTCATGTGAAATCCGTAGATTAAGGTCTAATGAATATATTTCAATTGACTGATTTCTTATATGAACTGTAACATAGTAAAATCTTTGAAATCGTTGCATGTTTCGTTTATATTTTTGTTCAGTGTAAAAACTGTGTAAAATCCAAAAGAACCATTTCAGATTCCAGTCCAGGTTGCCGTACGCAGGCTCTACCAGGTGGTTGATCATATAGGACAGGCTCTACCAGGTCGCTGCTCATATAGGACAGGCTCTACCAGGTGGTTGCTCATATAGGACAGGCTCTACCAGGTCGCTGCTCATATAGGACAGGCTCTACCAGGTCGCTGCTCATATAAGACAGGCTCTACCAGGTCGCTGCTCATATAGGACAGGCTCTACCAGGTCGCTGGTAGAGCCTGTCCTTGTTTTCTTGGTGACAACCAGGTGGTTGCTCATATAGGACAGGCTCTACCAGGTGATTGCTCATATAGGACAGGCTCTACCAGTCGGTGCACATATAGGACAGGCTCTACCAGGTGGTTGCTCATATAGGACAGGCTCTACCAGTCGCTGCTCATATAGGACAGGCTCTACCAGGTCGCTGCTCATATAGGACAGGCTCTACCAGGTGGTTGCTCATATAGGACAGGCTCTACCAGGTGGTTGCTCATATAGGACAGGCTCTACCAGGTCGGTGCTCATATAGGACAGGCTCTAGCAGGTCGCTGCTCATATAGGACAGGCTCTACCAGGTGGTTGCTCATATAGGACAGGCTCTACCAGGTGGTTGCTCATATAGGACAGGCTCTACCAGGTGGTTGATCATATAGGACAGGCTCTACCAGGTCGCTGCTCATATAGGACAGGCTCTACCAGGTGGTTGCTCATATAGGACAGGCTCTACCAGTCGGTGCTCATATAGGACAGGCTCTACCAGGTGGTTGCTCATATAGGACAGGCTCTACCAGGTGGTTGCTCATATAGGACAGGCTCTACCAGGTGGTTGCTCATATAGGACAGGCTCTACCAGGTCGCTGCTCATATAGGACAGGCTCTACCAGGTGGTTGCTCATATAGGACAGGCTCTACCAGGTGGTTGCTCATATATACAGTGGGGATAACAAGTATTTGATACACTGCCGATTTTGCAGGTTTTCCTACTTACAAAACATGTAGTGGTCTGTCATTTTTATCATAGGTACACTTCAACTGTGAGAGACGGAATCTAAAACAAAAATCCAGAAAAGCACATTGTATGATTTTTAAGTAATTAATTTGCATTTTATTGCATGACATAAGTATTTGATACGTCAGAAAAGCAGAACTTAATATTTGGTACAGAAACCTTTGTTTGCAATTACAGAGATCATACGTTTACTGTAGGTCTTGACCAGGTTTGCACACACTGCAGCAGGGATTTTGGCCCACTCCTCCATACAGACCTTCTCCAGATCCTTCAGGTTTCGGGGATGTCGCTGGGCAATACGGACTTTCAGCTTCCTCCAAAGATTTTCTATTGGGTTCAGGTCTGGAGACTGGCTAGGCCACTCCAGGACCTTGAGATGCTTCTTACGGAGCCACTCCTTAGTTGCCCTGGCTGTGTGTTTCGGGTCATTGTCATGCTGGAAGACCCAGCCACGACCCATCTTCAATGCTCTTACTGAGGGAAGGAGGTTGTTGGCCAAGATCTCGTGATACATGGCCCCATCCATCCTCCCCTCCATACGGTGCCGTCGTCCTGTCCCCTTTGCAGAGAAGCATCCCCAAAGAATGATGTTTCCACCTCCATGCTTCACGGTTGGGATGGTGTTCTTGGGGTTGTACTCATCCTTCTTCTTCCTCCAAACACGGCGAGTGGAGTTTAGACCAAAAAGCTCTATTTTTGTCTCATCAGACCACATGACCTTGGATCATCCAGATGGTCATTGGCAAACTTCAGACAGGCCTGAACATGCGCTGGCTTGAGCAGGGGGACCTTGCTTGCGCTGCAGGATTTTAATCCATGACGGCGTAGTGTGTTACTAATGGTTTTCTTTGAGACTGTGGTCCCAGCTCTCTTCAGGTCATTGACCAGGTCCTGCCGTGTAGTTCTGGGCTGATCCCTCACGATCCTCATGATCATTGATGCCCCACAGGGTGAGATCTTGCATGGAGCCCCAGACCGAGGGTGATTGACCATCATCTTGAACTTCTTCCATTTTCGAATAATTGCGGCAACAGTTGTTGCCTTCTTACCAAGCTGCTTGCCTATTGTCCTGTAGCCCATCCCAGCCTTGTGCAAGTCTACAATTCTATCCCTGATGTCCTTACACAGCTCTCTGGTCTTGGCCATTGTGGAGAGGTTGGAGTCTGTTTGATTGAGTGTGTGGACAGGTGTCTTTTATACAGGTAACGAGTTCAAACAGGTGCAGTTAATATAGGTAATGAGTGGAGAACAGGAGGGCTTCTTAAAGAAAAACTAACAGGTCTGTGAGAGCCGGTATTCTTACTGGTTGTTAGGTGATCAAATACTTATGTCATGCAATGAAATGCAAATTAATTACTTAAAAATCATTACTTAAAAATCATACAATGTGATTTTCTGGATTTTTGTTTTAGATTCAGTCTCTCACAGTTGAAGTGTACCTATGATAAAAATTACAGACCTCTACATGCTTTGTAAGTAGGAAAACCTGCAAAATCGGCAGTGTATCAAATACTTGTTCTCCCCACTGTACATTTACATTTTAGTCATTTAGCAGACGCTCTTATCCAGAGCGACTTACAGTTAGTGAATACATATTTTTTTATACTGGCCCCCCGTGGGAATCAAACCCACAACCCTGGCGTTGCAAACGCCATGCTCTATCAACTGAGCTACATCCCTGCCGGCCATTCCCTCCCCTACCCTGGACGAGGCTGGGCCAATTGTGCGCCGCCCATGAGTCTCCCGGTCGCGGCCGGCTGCGACAGAGCCTGGATGATATATATGACAGGCTCTACCAGGTGGTTGCTCATATAGGACAGGCTCTACCAGGTGGTTGCTCATATAGGACAGGCTCTACCAGGTGGTTGCTCATATAGGACAGGCTCTACCAGTCGCTGCTCATATAGGACAGGCTCTACCAGTCGCTACTCATATAGGACAGGCTCTACCAGTCGCTGCTCATATAGGACAGGCTCTACCAGGTGGTTGCTCATATATCACAGGCTCTACCAATTGGTTGCTCATATAGGACAGGCTCTACCAGGTGGTTGCTCATATATGACAGGCTCTACCAGGTGGTTGCTCATATAGGACAGGCTCTACCAGTCGCTGCTCATATAGGACAGGCTCTACCAGTCGCTGCTCATATAGGACAGGCTCTACCAGGTGGTTGCTCATATAGGACAGGCTATACCAGATGGTTACTCATATATGACAGGCTCTACCAGGTGGTTGCTCATATAGGACAGGCTCTACCAGGTGGTTGCTCATATATGACAGGCTCTACCAAGTGGTTGCTCATATAGGACAGGCTCTACCAGGTGGTTGCTCATATATGACAGGCTCTACCAGGTGGTTGCTCATATAGGACAGGCTCTACCAGGTGGTTGCTCATATAGGACAGGCTCTACCAGGTGGTTGCTCATATAGGACAGGCTCTACCAGATGGTTACTCATATATGACAGGCTCTACCAGATGGTTACTCATATATGACAGGCTCTACCAGGTGGTTGCTCATATAGGACAGGCTCTACCAGGTGGTTGCTCATATAGGACAGGCTCTACCAGATGGTTACTCATATAGGACAGGCTCTACCAGGTGGTTGCTCATATAGGACAGGCTCTACCAGGTGGTTGCTCATATAGGACAGGCTCTACCAGATGGTTACTCATATATGACAGGCTCTACCAGGTGGTTGCTCATATATGACAGGCTCTACCAGGTGGTTGCTCATATAGGACAGGCTCTACCAGATGGTTACTCAAATAGGACAGGCTCTACCAGGTGGTTGCTCATATATGACAGGCTCTACCAGGTGGTTGCTCATATATGACAGGCTCTACCAGGTGGTTGCTCATATAGGACAGGCTCTACCAGGTGGTTGCTCATATAGGACAGGCTCTACCAGATGGTTACTCATATATGACAGGCTCTACCAGGTGGTTGCTCATATAGGACAGGCTCTACCAGATGGTTACTCATATATGACAGGCTCTACCAGGTGGTTGCTCATATATGACAGGCTCTACCAGGTTGTTGCTCATATAGGACAGGCTATACCAGATGGTTACTCATATACAGTGGGGAAAAAAAGTATTTAGTCAGCCTCCAATTGTGCAAGTTCTCCCACTTAAAAACATGAGAGAGGCCTGTAATATTCATCATAGGTACACGTAAACTATGACAGACAAATTGAGGGAAAAAAATCTAGAAAATCACATTGTAGGATTTTTAATGAATTTATTTGCAAATTATGGTGGAAAATAAGTATTTGGTCACCTACAAACAAGCAAGATTTCTGGCTCTCACAGACCTGTAACTTCTTCTTTAAGAGGCTCCTCTGTCCTCCACTCGTTACCTGTATTAATGGCACCTGTTTGAACTTGTTATCAGTATAAAAGACACCTGTCCACAACCTCAAACAGTCACACTCCAAACTCCACTATGGCCAAGACCAAAGAGCTGTCAAAGGACACCAGAAACAAAATTGTAGACCTGCACCAGGCTGGGAAGACTGAGTCTGCAATAGGTAAGCAGCTTGGTTTGAAGAAATCAACTGTGGGAGCAATTATTAGGAAATGGAAGACATACAAGACCACTGATAATCTCCCTCGATCTGGGGCTCCACGCAAAATCTCACCCCGTGGGGTCAAAATGATCACAAGAACGGTGAGCAAAAATCCCAGAACCACACGGGGGGACCTAGTGAATGACCTGCAGAGAGCTGGGACCAAAGTAACAAAGCCTACCATCAGTAACACACTACGCCGCCAGGGACTCAAATCCTGCAGTGCAAGACGTGTCCCCCTGCTTAAGCCAGTACATGTCCAGGCCCATCTGAAGTTTGCTAGAGTGCATTTGGATGATCCAGAAGAGGATTGGGAGAATGTCATATGGTCAGATGAAACCAAAATAGAACTTTTTGGTAAAAACTCAACTCGTCGTGTTTGGAGGACAAAGAATGCAGAGTTGCATCCAAAGAACACCATACCTACTGTGAAGCATGGGGGTAGAAACATCATGCTTTGGGGCTGTTTTTCTGCAAAGGGACCAGGACGACTGATCCGTGTAAAGGAAAGAATGAATGGGGCCATGTATCGTGAGATTTTGAGTGAAAACCTCCTTCCATCAGCAAGGGCATTGAAGATGAAACGTGGCTGGGTCTTTCAGCATGACAATGATCCCAAACACACTGCCCGGGCAATGAAGGAGTGGCTTCGTAAGAAGCATTTCAAGGTCCTGGAGTGGCCTAGCCAGTCTTCAGATCTCAACCCCATAGAAAATCTTTGGAGGGAGTTGAAAGTCTGTGTTGCCCAGCGACAGCCTTAAAACATCACTGCTCTAGAGGAGATCTGCATGGAGGAATGGGCCAAAATACCAGCAACAGTGTGTGAAAACCTTGTGAAGACTTACAGAAAACGTTTGACCTGTGTCATTGCCAACAAAGGGTATAAAACAAAGTATTGAGAAACTTTTGTTATTGACCAAATACTTATTTTCCACCATAATTTGCAAATAAATTCATTAAAAATCCCACAAAGTGATTTTCTGGAGAAAAAAAATCTCATTTTGTCTGTCATAGTTGACGTGTACCTATGATGAAAATTACAGGCCTCTCTCATCTTTTTAAGTGGGAGAACTTGCACAATTGGTGGCTGACTAAATACTTTTTTTCCCCACTGTATGAGCTATACAGAGGAAACACCAGAACGCACTGTATACTCTAACGCCAGTAAACCATGCCATACCATCTCATAGTATCTATACTGAATAATACGTATGGAGTTGACCAAACAATAAGGTTCATACATCTAAATAACATACGGCCGGGTTCCCAGACACAGATTAAGCCTAGTCTTGGACTAGAAAGCATGTTCAATGGAGAATCTCCATAATATTAATATGTGTCTGGAAAACCGGCCCATAAAGTACAATAAATGTTGATTTTCTGTGCAATACTGTGATCTGGAAATTCTACTGTCTTTGAAAATGCTGTAGTGTTATACTTGACTAGTCCAGTTAAAGTTTGGTTAATTGTCCAACCTTGGTGTCCTGACCAGATATTGACGAGTGTTCGGTGGGGAACCTATGTGGGAACGGGACGTGCTCTAACGTGATTGGAGGGTTCGAGTGTAACTGTGAGGAGGGCTTTGAGCCAGGCCCCATGATGACCTGTGAAGGTGGGTGGAAGTGGAATCCTACTGGAAATGTGGTGGAGTTGCATTTATTATTATTAATATTGTGTTGTAGTCATTGTCATTTAAACACAATTATAAAAATAAAAAAATGTATATATACTTCTATTTTCCAAGTTTTAGTAAATTGAAAATCTATTAAAATCATGATCTTAACACATAAGCAAAATGTGTTAAATGGCAAATGGAACATATTAATCTTGTGTGAAATGTTCAGAAGGAAAGTTAGACCATATGGATATAAATATATGAAGATACGAAAAGTGTTTTGCTGGATGTATTGAAGGCATGATGCCAATTTAAATGCAGATATTTTGAAATGAGACTAATTCTTTGCCTGAAGGTTGTGTTTTGTGTGTGTGTGTGTGTGGTGTGTATGTCTATGCCGGCGTGCGTACGTATGTGTGAGAGTGAGATGGGTATATGGATTTTGACTGCTAGTGTTGTCCTCTGTCTGTCTACGTCACTTTCTTTGGGTCAGACGTAAACGAGTGTGCTACCAGCCCCCTGCTGTGTGCATTCCGCTGCATCAACACCTTCGGAGGCTACGAGTGCATGTGTCCCGACGGCTACACTCTGAGAGACAACCAGAGGATGTGCCAGGGTGAGACACACACATCACTGAATTACTACTCTTTTACGCAATTGACCCTAAAGGGATAGTTCAACCAAATTACGAGTCATGCTAACTCCCAAAACACACACACACACACACACACACTTTCACTCTTTCATACTGTTCACACATGCTGCTGCTACTCTGTTTATTATCTATCCTGATTGACTAGTCACTTTACTCCTACCTACATGTACAGTTGAAGTCGGAAGTTTACATATACTTTGGTTGGAGTCATTAAAACTTGTTTTTCAACCACTCCACAAATTTCTTGTTAACAAACTATAGTTTTGGCAAGTCGGTTAGGACATCTACTTTGTGCATGAAACAAGTCATTTTTCCAAAAATTGTTTACAGACAGATTATTTCACTTATAATTCACTGTATCACAATTCCAGTGGGTCAGAAGTTTACATACACTAAGTTGACTGTGCTTTAAACAGCTTGGAAAATTCCAGAAAATGATGTCATGGCTTTAGAAGCATCTGATAGGCTAATTGACATAATTTGAGTCAATTGGATGTGTACCTGTGGATGTATTTCAAGGCCTACCTTCAAACTCAGTGCCTCTTTGCTTGACATCATGGGAAAATCAAAAGAAATCAGCCAAGACCTCAGAAAAAAAATTGTATGCTGATGAAACAAAAATAGAACTGTTTGGCCATAATGACCATCGTTATGTTTGGAGGAAAAAGGGGGTCGCTTGCAAGTCGAACGACACCATCCCAACCGTGAAGCACGGGGGTGGCAGCGTCATGCTGTGGGGGTGCTTTGCTGCAGGAGGGACTGGTGCACTTCACAAATAGATGGCATCATGAGGAAGGAAAATTATGTGGATATATTGAAGCAACATCTCAAGACATCAGTCAGGAATTTAAAGCTTGGTCGCAAATGGGTCTTCCAAATGGACAATGACCCCAAGCATACTTCCAAAGTTGTGGCAATATGGCTTAAGGACAACAAAGTCAAGGTATTGGAGTGGCCATAACAAAGCCCTGACCTCAATCCTATAGAACATTTGTGGGCAGAACTGAAAAAGCGTGTGCGAGCAAGGAAGCCTGCAAACCTGACTCAGTTATACCAGCTCTGTCAGGAGGAATGGGCCAACTTATTGTGGGAAGCTTGTGGAAGGCTACCCGAAACGTTTGACCCAAGTTAAACAATTTAAAGGCAATGCTACCAAATACTAATTGAGTGTATGTAAACTTCTGACCCACTGGGAATGTGTTGAAAGAAATAAAAGCTGAAATAAATAATTATCTCTACTATTATTCTGACATTTCACATTCTTAAAATAAAGTGGTGATCCTAATTGACCTAAGACATAATTTTTACTAGGATTAAATGTCAGGAATTGTGAAAAACTGAGTTTAAATGTATTTGGCTAAGTGTACTGTAAGTACAAACTTCTACCCGACCATTTCAAACCCTGTACATATATACCTTTAACCCTCACCGTTTTTCCGAAGTCAACTACCCTCATGCATTGAAAGTAACTAGGCCAGCCTAGCAGCCTGTGGACACGTGACTTCTATTCAAATACTCCTTTGTATATAGGTCATTGTTATGTTATTTTTATTGTTGTTACTAATTTCCTATATTAAATTGATTGCGTAGGGAGCTATTTGTTTTTGCTTCAATTATCACTGCGTTGTTGGGAAAGGGCTCATAAGTAAGCAAGTCTATACCGGTGTGTGTGTTCAGAGTCTTATGGTTGTAGAAATGTTTTAGTCTTTACTAACTTGCACCTCGTATGCGGCGTAGCAGAGAGAACGTCTATACTAGGGTGTAAGCTTTGACATTTGAGGGCTCCTTGACACGCCGCGTATAGAGGTCCCTGGAGGAGCTGCCCCAGTGATACTGGGCCGTACGCACTACCCTCTGAGTGCCTTGCGTCAGAGGCAAGATTGCACACCCCTTGACTTTTTCCACATTTTGTTGTTGTTACAAAGTGGGATTAAAATTGATTCAATTTAAAAATTTTAGTCAACAATCTACACAAAATACTCTATAATGTAAGTGGAAGAGCCTGGTTCCTCTCTAGGTTCCTTCCTTGGTTCCTGCCTTTCTAGGGAGTTTTTCCTAGCCCCCGTGCTTCTACATCTGCATTGCTTGCTGTTTGGGGTTTTAGGCTGGGTTTCTGTATATGCACTTTGTGACATCTGATGATGTAAAAAGGGCTTTATAAAATCAATTTGATTGATTGATTGGTTGATTGAAGAAAAATTTGAACATTTGTCAAATAAAATATGAATAATAAAACGGTAATATATTTTGATTAGATAAGTATTCAACCCCCTGAGTCAACACATGTTAGAATCACCTTTGGCAGCAATTACACCTGTGAGTCTTTCCGGGTAAGTCTCTAAGAGCTTTGCAAGTCTTAAATATCCCCATCAGCGCTGCCGGAAATTAGCACTTTGGATCCTGTTTTTAAGGACACACCTCGCCCATATTTCCACCCCGCCCATGTGAGCGCAAGCGAGCTGATATAAGACAGATAAATAAATAAAAAATGCCAGCAGCAGCATGTTTTACATATAGCAAACTAACGTGCGCTTGACACTAGCGCCACCTTTAACGTCAGCCGAAAATAGAGCCCATGGGGTGTGAATACTTTCTGAAGGCACTGTATAACAAGAGGTACGTTTGTAATTTGGATGAACTAACCCCTCATTTATGTCTACAGACGAGGCTTAGAGATCGCTCATACTCACTAAAGAACATATTTCTTTCTTTCAAAATCCTGTGCTACCATTTCCTCGGTCTCTCTCAGATCTGGATGAGTGTTACGAGGGGCTCCACGACTGTGAGTCCAGAGGCATGACCTGCAAGAACCTCATTGGCACCTTCGTGTGTGTGTGCCCGCCGGGGATGGTGCGGCGCCTGGACAACGAAGTGTGCGAGGGTGAGGAAAGAGTCTACATCGATAGAACTGTTCAATAGTGATCCCACTGGGCACAGACGTCAGTTCAACGATTAGTTTTGATTTACATTTGGTTGAGTTTTCAACTAACGTGAATTAAATGTGAAATCAATGTCATTGGATTTAGGTTCAAAGTTAAAATATGAAATGCCCTTACGTTGATTCTTTTTTTGCAAATCCAATCAGTTTCCCACGTTGATTCAACACCCATCACATAGATTTTTGGGGTTGAAATAATGTGGAAACAATGTTGATTCAACCAGTTTTTTGCCCAGTGGGATGTGAGATTGCATATTATTTGGAGAGATGCAAGTTTGATTTTAAACATATGTCGCCCCTCCTTCTACTGCATGTTGAACCTTCTGTTTCTGTTTCTCTCTCTACCCCTTCATCTTTTAATCTATCCCTCCATCACATTCTCCCCACTCTTCTGTCCCTCCCTCTGTCTCTCTCTCTCCCTCCCTCTCTCTCTCTCTCTTTCTCTCTTTAGATGAGAATGAATGTCGTAGCAAGCCGGGGATCTGTGAGAATGGTCGTTGCATCAACACTATAGGCAGCTACATGTGTGAATGTGGAGGCGGCTATGAGTCTGACTCTACACGGACACAGTGTCTCGGTAAGAATCATACACACTCCTCCGAAACACACTTCTACTCTGTGTGTGTGTGTGTGTGTGTGTGTGTGTGTGTGTGTGTGTGTGTGTGTGTGTGTGTGTGTGTTTGACAGTCAGTGTTAGGAATATCTGTACAGTATATGTCTAAAATTAGCTAGAAGTCGTTTAATCTCGATTCTCGTTAGTGATACAACAGCTTTTTCTGGAAGTTTGGACACACCTACTCATTCAAGGGTTTTTCTTTATTTTTACTATTTTCTACATTGTAGAATAATAGTGAAGACATCAAAACTATGAAATAACACATACGGAATCATGTAGTAACTCAAAAAGTGTTAAACAAATCAAAATATATTTTATATTTGAGATTCTTCAAATAGCCACCCTTTGCCTTGATGACAGCTTTGCACACTCTTGGCATTCTCTCAACCAGCTTCATGAGGTAGTCACCTGGAATGCATTTCAATTAACAGGTGTGCCTTCTTAAAAGTACATTTGTGGAATTTCTTTCCTTCTTAATGCGTTTGAGCCAATCAGTTGTGTTGTGACAAGGTAGGGTTGGTATACAGAAGATAGCCCTATTTGGTAAAAGACCAAGTCCATATTATGGCAAGAACAGCTCAAATAAGCAAAGAGAAACGACAGTCCATCATTACTTTAAGACATGAAGGTCAGTCAATTTGGAAAATGTCAAGTTTCTTCAAGTGCAGTCGCAAAAACCATCAAGCGCTATGATGAAACTGGCTCTCATGAGGACCACCACAGGAATGGTAGACCCAGTGTTACCTCTGCTGCAGAGGATAAGTTCATTAGAGTTACCAGCCTCAGAAATTGCAGCCCAAATAAATGCTTCACAGAGTTGAAGTAACAGACACATCTCAACATCAACTGTTCAGAGGACACTCACGTACGGGAGTTGCAGCGATGGGACAAGACTTTAACTACCAATTGGATATCACGAAATTGGGGAGAAAAAATAGAAAATAAATAAAAAACTAAACAAACAATTAAATCCCACTTAAAAATCTTTTGTTTTGCCCATTCACCCTCTGAATGGCACAATCCATGTTTTAATTGTCTCAAGGCTTAAAAATCCTTCTTTAACCTGTCACCTCCCCTTCATCTACACTCATTCAATGGATTTAACAAGTGACATCAATAAGATATCATAACTTTCACCTGATTTCACCTGGTCAGTCTACGTCATGGAAAGAGCAGGTGTTCTTAATGTTTTGTACGGTCAGTGTATAGACACATACCAGTCTGTCTGTTCTGCCCCTCTCTCTAGACTACAGGGAGGGCTTCTGCTTTACCGAGGTGCTCATGACTATGTGCCAGATGTCTTCCAGCAGCCGGACCCCCACCACCAAGTCCCAGTGCTGCTGTGATGGGGGCCGCGGCTGGGGCAACCAGTGTGAGCTCTGTCCCCTGTCTGACACGGCAGGCTACAAGAAGCTCTGCCCTCACGGCCCGGGATACGCCACCGACGGCATGGGTGAGAGATCTAAGGGTTAGGGAGTTACAGAGCGTGAGAAAGGTTCAACTGTGGAAGTGCCTGTAAGGAGAAGTGCCTTGATGATAAGGCTTGAGTTACAAGTTAAATATACAGTGTATGGCTATAGGTCAGGTGGTCGGAAGTTTCTTCTAGGCTTTTTAAGGAATTCCAAATAGGCCGCTAGTCCCTAGCCCCCTAGTAGATCTGAAATGATTGGATAGGTGTAAGCGATATGGCAAAATGCCCAACCCAGCCATTCAGAAGGCAAGATGTAGCAATTACCGCATATAAGTCCTAGGAATGACCCAGTGAAAGGAATGTCCGGAATTTCACCTAGCCCTAGGCAGGAAGTCAGGACGAGTGCTTCAGTGTTATTTTATACATTCTCCAAGAGTGTCCACTGAAGGTCAACTTGTAATTCATACTAGTTGTTTCTCTCAGGTTGTCCACTAGAATGCAGTTTGCTTTTAAGGTTACAAGAGGAACCTAGCAAACCTAACACACCCTTGAATTGAATCAAGATTAGCAATCTGAACAAGGAATCTTACATGGACACGGAACAAGCCAATTAAATTGACCCTATATTATGTTATTGGGCTTTCTTCCAGTCTATTTGCAGTGTACAAATGATTATAATTATGTTTAGGCCCCTTAACCATCCACTCAGAAAAAATCACCCTGTGGCTGAATCTAACTGTCGACCCCTGCTATAGACTATATATTTCTTATTCAGCTGAATGCTGAATGGCCCCGTCTTCTCTGAATGGCCCCATCTTCTCTGAATGGGCTCATCTTCTCTGAATGGCCCCACCTTCTCTGAATGGGCCCATCTTCTCTGAATGGGCCCATCTTCTCTGAATGGGCTCATCTTCTCTGAATGGGCCCATCTTCTCTGAATGGGCACGTCTTCTCTGAAAGGTCCCGTCTTCTCTGAAAGGTCCCGTCTTCTCTGAAAGGTCCTGTCTTCTGTCTTTTGTCCTACAGATATAGACGAGTGTAAGGTCATCCCTGACACGTGTAAGAATGGACGCTGCATCAACACCATGGGATCCTACCGCTGCCACTGCAAGCTGGGCTACACTGCCACCATCACTGGAACAGCCTGCGTGGGTAAGACACAGTCCACCGCTACACTTCTGGTGCTCAGAACAGTATTGTGATGCTACACGGAGTCTGTTTTAAAACCTGCTGAGTGGTTGTGATTGAAGGCCATTGGGAATGCAACCAACGCTATGATTGTTTGGATACACGAAAAATGCATCGTTCCCTCCTTGCTTCTTTGAAGTTGTCACTAATTTGACCATTTCCCCTTCACCTATCGGATCATAAATACATTATTACAACAAGGCGCTCAATACCCCCCCCCACTGTTGATCTTCTGTGTTCTCTTCCCCTGTCAGATCTGGATGAGTGTGTCATGTCCCCCAAGCCGTGTAATTTCATCTGTAAGAACACTGAGGGGAGTTACACTTGCTCCTGTCCCCGTGGTTACGTGCTCCAAGAGGACGGCAGGACCTGCAAAGGTATAAAGGAAACTACAACCCCCATGAGGCAAACCAACAGGCATGTTTTAGGCCAATGGATGTCTACTGGATTTCTACATTGTATAGGGATACATAGCGGTATTATAGCCTGGTCCTGGATCTGAGTGTGCTGTCCTGCAAACTTCTAGGGTCATTGTTACGTCATGACTCGGGTCTCCCGAGTGGCGCAGTGGTCTAAGGCACTGCATCGCAGTGCTAGCTGTGCCACTAGAGATCCTGGTTCGAATCCAGGCTCTGTCGCAGCCGGCCGCGATCGGGAGACACATGGGGCGGCGCACAATTGGCCCAGCGTCGTCCAGGGTAGGGGAGGGAATTATTTAAAAAATAAAAAATTAAATAATAATGTATGCACTAACTGTAAGTCGCTCTGGATAAGAGCGTCTGCTAAATGACTAAAATGTCAAATGTAAAATGACACAACAGATCTGGTACCAGGTTAGAGGTTTTACAGCTCAAACCCAACATCTATCAGCTTCATCTCAGCGGTACCTGCTGAACTGTGTACGCGACCAATAAACATAGATTTTACTAGCTAGCTAAAGTGATATCTTCATTATTAGTCAGTGTTGTCCACACTAAAGGAATAGATTGATGTTGATTTAATGAGAGGACAGATGATGCTCATAAGCCAGTCATTACTGCAGATATGAGTCTCCAGAGGTGATCGTCCTGTATCACAACAGATCTAAATTACAGAGACTGAATACACTGGTTGAATGAGTCATGAACAGTGCTGGAATGAACTGAATGGCGGCATAAGGGCTCTGTCCTTTCAACATAAAATAATATATTGTGTAATAACAAAGTGTAATGTTGTGTGTGTGTGATCTGAGAGCTTTGGTTTACTGTGTGTGTGTGTGTCTGTGTGTGTGTGTGTGTGTGTGTCTGTGTCTGTGTCTGTGTGTGTGTGTGTGTGTGTGTGCGTGTGCGTGCGTGCGTGTGTGTGTCCATATGTCCGTTTAGATTTGGACGAGTGCCAGACCAAGAGGCACAACTGTCAGTTCATGTGTGTCAACACCGTGGGTGGATTCACCTGCAAGTGTCCCTCTGGATTCACCCAGCACCACACTGCATGCATAGGTAATGCTAGAAGTCTGTGTTCACGTTTTAAATCAGGCTACTGTAGCTGGAAGCATAAAGCCTGAATTCAATCAATTGCTTTTGTTTCATACGTGATCATACACTAAACTGTAGCTGGGTTATGTTCAGCCTAATGGAACACAACTCTACATAAATGCAATGCTCTCTCTGTCAGACAATAATGAGTGTGTGGGAGAGCCCTCCCTGTGTGGCACCAAGGGCATCTGTCAGAACTCCCCTGGCAGCTTCAACTGTGAGTGCCAGAGGGGTTACGAACTGGACGACACCGGACTGCACTGTGATGGTAGCTATATATAATGTTTAATTTTTTTTTCTCCCTTTCTTCATTCCATTTCTTACGGGAAACATCCACATGACACACTTCATATGAATTATGCTTTTTGTTTCGATAAATCTAGAATTTTGAATAGCATCATTGAACAATCATAAGGCATTGTTCAATATTTTTTCCAAGGCATGGCACATACCATATCATCATCTCACTGTATGTAACCGATGGCTAAGTTTGCATTGCATGGTTGCTTCACCTTCCTAAAACCTGAAGATATGATGTCCCCGGCCACCCAATGCCATGGTTTTGGTGGGCTAGTGGTAGAATCTGAAGCTTAAGCATACGTGGTTGATGGAACTGTGGGATTGAACCTCAGTGGTGTCACACCCTGGCTCTGGGGACTCTATATGTTGAGCCAGGGTGTGTAGATTCTATGTGTTCTTGTTCTATGTTTATATTCTAGTTGTGCTATTTCTATGTTGGCCAGAGTGGTTCTCAATCAGAGGCAACGAGTGTCAGCTGTTGCTGGTTGTCTCTGATTGGGAACCACATTTAAACAGGCTGTTTTCCCACAGTAGTTGTGGGATCTTGTTCCTTTTGGTTTGTTCCGTATGGTTTATGTTGTAGCCAAGGACTTCACGTTTCGTTATCGTTTGTTGTTTATCGTGTATTCATTTAATAAATATAAGTATGTTCGCTCATCACGCTGCGCCTTGGTCCACTCACTCTAACGAACGTGACAAGTGGCAGAGATAAACCCCGGTATACAAAAGGTTTTTTGGGCTGGTGACAGTTTTTCCACCTGTATTCTCAGAAGCAACATATGATGCAAAATACATAAACAATAAAAAAACAACATTAAACATAAATAAACAATAAAATAAATAAATAATTAAATTAAAGATTAAAATCTCAAAAGTGGCACTACTGGTGTAGAAGCTGAGAAAATCAAGGCCAACTTGACTGTGCTCTCTGACAGCATTGCCTGACTGCTATTTCAAGGCCTCAAACCTTCGCCAACTCTCGTTTTTATTGAGGTCTCCACAGAGAGGCAATGTCCAAAACCACAAGTCCTACTGGCACTATCTAAATTAAATCTGCGCCTCGCTCTACAAACAAAATAATTAACTTTCAGGAATAGTTTCGTGACTAAAAATACTCTGTACTGGGAGTGAATTCAGGGTAGTGGTTTGGTTTGTGCCACGGAGTCTGTAAAAACTCAAATCCCAGGTGGAATGTTGTTATCCTCTCCTTTGAGCTAACTTTTACCTGGTTTGCGTGACTCGAAAGCAGTGGGGATTTATTGATAGGATTTTTCATTGACTAAATGAAAAGCATTCGGTTTAAATAGGCTATCTTCCACATCTATAGGAGTGTGTGTTAGAAACAGATGCCGAGCCAACCTACCAATTCAATATGAAGGGACAATTATACCCACAGAGGGAGTATAATTATAATTATAATTAATTATAATTAAATATAATTATAATCAATACGATTAGGTAGCTAAAGGCACATTTGTTCTCCTAGCATTTGGGTGTAAACGCAATTGAAACACCCTAACGTAGATTTCAAGCTCATATCTATTTTTTTAGAGGAACTGGTGCAATGACAGCAGGAAACTTACAGTAGGTGCAGAGTTGTTTCACAATTGCGTCGTTACTGCATTGTACAGTAGCTTAATGTTCCAATCCAAATCTGCAAAGTAACCGTGATGGAAATGGTGACGAATAAGACGAAGACGATGACGATGATGAATAAGAATTAGTTAATGATTTAAGAAGATTAGGAAAGTAACGATGATTATTAGGATGGTGAAGATGATGATGGGCTAATGCATATGTGTTCTTCTGCTGTTTGACCGTCAGACGTGGACGAGTGTGACAGTAACCACAGGTGCCAACATGGCTGCCAGAACATGCTGGGAGGCTACCGTTGCAGCTGCCCTCAGGGGTACACACAGCACTACCAGTGGAACCAGTGTGTTGGTATGTACCCCACACACACACACACACACACACACACACAACACACACACACAACACACACACACACACACACACACACACACACACACACACACACACACACACACACACACACACACACACACACACACACACACACACACACACACACACACACACACACACACACACACACACACACACACACACACACACACACACACACACACACACACACACACCACACACACACACACACACAAACACACACACACACACACACACACACACACACACACACACACACACACACACACACACACACACACACACACACACACACACACACACACACACACACACACGGTGCGCTACTTTGGGACACTGGTGATAACTACATGAGTTGAAAGGGAAAGTTGGCCCTTTTTCTATTTACCCAGAGTCAGGTGAACTCATGGATACAATTTGTATGTGTCTGGTAGTTTCGCAAAGCCATCGCAAACTAGTTTTAGCGCAATGACTGGAAGTCTACCGCAACAGCTAGCATGTCAGCAGTTCCAGTAGGCTTCCAGCAATTGCGCTAATGCTAGTTAGCAACTTCCTTCAAACTGCACGCAGAGGCATAAAAATGGTATCCGTCAGTTAATCTGACTCTGGGGAAGTAGATAAAGGGCTTAATTGCCAAAATCTCTCACTATCCCTTTAAGTAGGAGAAATGTTTCCCAGTTCATGAACAAAACACAATTAATATTGTTGGCTTTGTGCAGTTTACCACTATATCTCTAGGTAAGTGCAATACTTCTAAATCAACGCTAAGGACAGCTAACCCTTAAATGATGTGCACTGCACTCACACATTAAGCACACTCCTGGTCTGTGACCATTTAGAGACGGTATATGGCCGGTTCTCAGTGGCCTTGCGGTTACTGTCCTCCAGGAGATTGGAAAGTTCAGAGTTCTGTGTTTCTATGTCAAACAGTTTTGTTATATTTCAGTCTTCTGTGATGTATATAAAGTGTAATATGGGGATGCAAAATCCAAATGACTTACATTTCAACTCTATATCTGACATGGTACAGCTGTCTTCTTTTTTTTTAAGCCCATGACCGTGTGTGTGAGGTGTACACATTTGTTTCAAAGTAGATTTGTTTAAGACTACCAAGAAACACTCTGTGTGACCCTGACTCAGCCCAATGCAGTAAAAGGTTAATAGCCATTTAATAAATCATTGTTTTTTTCGTTTGTGTGCTCTTAAAATGAGTTGTACGGTAGAGGACGGGAGTATTATTATATATTTCTTAATCATTGTAAATTAGCATTCTCTGTCTGTTGGGGAGATTCCTGACTTCCACTTAAGTCGTATTTTCACTTAGTAATGCATTGTTGTCAATGGGAGATAGAATAAGTCAAATAAAATTTAAGTTAGGATTCAGAGTCATAGAGTTAAGATAAACCAAAGGTTATTTTGATAATAAAGTAAGATTCCGTTGTATGGTGAAATTCATTGTCACAGAAAATGATGTAAAAGTGCTATATGTGCATTGGCAGAAGGGTATTTACAGCTACTTACTGCTAACAGCTGTTTTGAAAACATATTGGAGGCGACTCAAAGAGGAAGATGGAGTGCCTACCATTTCCAGTCCTAGTAAACAGAACCACATTGCCACCTGCTGGACAAGGAGAGAAAGGTTCTCTCTCGTACCAATGGGTTCCAGAACATTGATATTAATACAGTAGTGTTCTAATGTTCTATAGATTCATTGTGATCCACTGTCAAAAAGCAAAAGCAGTGTCTCCTAGATTCTGACAGTTCTGCTTTAGGTGTATTTTCCGACGATGCTTTAACCCCAGGGTGTTTGGTCACAATTTGTTCAATCGCAAGGTGTTTCAATCATTCTATGTCCTTGTTGACCTCAATAACAATTCAAACTAATTCTCCTAACCCCCTCCACACCTCCTCTCTTAACTTCTCTCCCCTCTACCCCCTCCTCTCCTCTCCTCTCCTCTCTCAGATGAGAACGAGTGCTCCAACCCAGGCAGCTGTGGATCGGCCTCCTGTTACAACACGTTGGGCAGCTTCAAGTGCGCCTGCCCCTCAGGCTACAGCTTCGACCCATTCAGCAGCAGCTGTCAGGATGTCAACGAGTGCTCCAACAAGCACCCCTGTAACTATGGTTGCTCTAACACCGAGGGAGGCTACCTGTGTGGCTGCCCGCCAGGCTATTTCCGCATGGGCCAAGGGTAAGGATGCAGAGACCTGGAGCTAACTCTGCAGATAGATAGCGCTGCTGGGGGATTTTGAAAAAGTCATAGTCAATCTATCAATAATATAATAATAGTCTTAGCAAAAAAACATTTTTAATCTTTATTTTACAATCTGTAGAAACTATGAGAATAGAAAAGGTTCAGAACTTTTGTGAAACATCACAGCACAGTTTAAAAATATATATATATGGCAAATAGAAATCAAAACTGGATGGTGTTTAGAGATAGATGGGAGGAGTTGAGTGGAGCTGAAGGGTGGGTCTTAAAACAAACAAAAAATAACTATTGTAAAATATACTGTGTCCGTAAAATGTATAAGCTGGAAGTAGAAGCCTAAGTGTTGTTGTCCATGAGTTTACTCTAATTAGAGGGGGGGGGGGGGGTATGCAGGCAATTACATTGATGGAAGCTACAATCTATCTGCAATATTAAAGCTGATCTACCCTCTAAGGTTTTTTTTATTTTTTTTTAAAGGGGGCAGGGACGGACTGGCCACAGGGCAATTCTGGCAAATGCCAGATGGCTGGTCCATTGTTAGCCCAGTGGGTCCTGTCTAAATTGGGATTTTAGAGCAGAATTATCATTATTTGGCTTATAATGGGGGCATCGAGGAAAGAAATGAGCCGTGTGTTAGACATGCCAGGGCCGATTTCTGGTCCCAGTCCGTCCTTGTAAGGAGGGGATGTGATTGGGGTCAGGGACCTTAGGAACATTTATTGGGACGGGCCCCTCAGGAACAGCTTAGCTTTTGACTTGTGTTTCCCAGTCTGTTTTTCTGGGATTTCTGCAAATGTTTGTTGTACCCCAGCACTAGCACACCTGGCTGTTAGCTTTCAGTTTGCTGAGATTTCAGACATTTATAATTTCATGGGTAATTTTCAGAAGGATTTTCCACTATTGTAACGAAGAAGTTGTCCACTCTTGGTCAAGCACTCTCTCATGCTTGTCTGTTTGTGTGCCTGTCTGGCTGCGTGTCTCTGTGTTCTCTGCGTGTGTGTTCTTTAGTCACTGTGTGTCAGGCGTGGGCTTTGGGAAGGGCCAGTATGAGGGGCTGGTGATGGAGGGTCCAGAGATGGAAGACAACACAGAGACCTGCTACGAGTGTAAGATCAACGACTACCCCAAGAAGCACGGCCGCAAGAGGCGCGACGCCAACGGAACGCAACCCATAGAGGTACACTATATAGGGAGCATTGACACTTCAAACAATAAAGGTAACATGGACCTGTTGGAGTGTCTGTTCTCTATTCTGGAGATTTCGAGATTTATGTATATAGAGAGGTGAAGGGTTGCCGTCGATGGCCCGCTTACAAATGGTACAGAGAACTCTCATTCCATTAGGGTTTCTCCGTTATTCCATTAGTTAACAGTCTTGTCTCGTCATTTCAGTTAGCGTTGGCCTAATGCACTCTCGAATAACACCTGTGACTGCTTTATGCCTCTCTCTCCCATGTCAATATGCCTTGCCTATTGCTGTTTCGGTTAGTTCTTATTGTACTGTTTCATTGTAGAGCCTCCCAGTCCCGCTCAACCTGCCTCAGATAGCTCCTTTGTCCCCCCACCCCCCCCCCCCCCATACACGCGGAGACAGGCTCAATCGGTGCCTCCAGTGATGCTATCTCTTTCGTCGTTACCCAACGCTTAGATTTACCTTCACTGTACTCATATCCTTGTCCGTACGTAATGTCCTGAATCTTTTCTACAACGCCCGGAAATCTGCCTCCTTTATTCTCTGTACCCAACGCACTAGAAGACCAGTTCTTAAAGCCTTTAGCCGTATCCTTATTATATTCCTCCTCTGTTCCTCTGGTTATGTAGAGGCTAACCCAGGCCCTGTAGGCCCCAGTATCACTCCTACTCCCCAGGCGCTATCATTTGTTGACTTCTGTAACCGTAAAAGCCTTGGTTTCTTGCATGTTAACATCAGAAGCCTCCTCCCTAAGTTTGAGTTATTCACTGCGTTAGCACACTCCACCAACCCTGATGTTCTAGCAGTGTCTGAATCCTGGCTTAGGAAGGCCAACAAAAATTCAGAAATGTCCATCCCCAACTACAACATTTTCCATCTAGATAGAACTTCCAAAGGGGGTGGAGTTGCAATCTACTGTAGAGATCGCCTGCAGAGCTCTATCATACTATCCAGGTCTGTGCCCAAACAGTTTGAGCTTCTACTTCTAAAAATCCACCTTTCCAGAAATAAGTCTCTCACTGTTGCCACTTGCTACAGACCCCCCTCAGCCCCCAGCTGTGCCCTGGACACCATATGTGAATTGATTGTCCCCCCATTTATCCTCAGAGTTCGTACTGCTTGGTGACCTAAACTGGGATATGCTTAACACCCCGGCCGTCCTACAATCTAAACTAGATGCCCTCAATCTCACACAAATTATCAAGGAACCTACAAGGTACAACCCTAAATCCGTAAACATGGGCACCCTCATAGATATCATCCTGACTAATTTACCCTCTAAATACACCTCCGCTGTCTTCAACCAGGATCTCAGCGATCATTGCCTGCGCTCGTAATGGGTCCACGGCAGCCCCCGCGATATGCAACTTTTCAGGGAAGTCAGGAACCAATATACACAATCCGTTAGGAAAGCAAAGGCTAGCTTTTTCAAACAGAAATTTGCATCCTGTAGCACTAACTCCAAAAAGTTTTGGGACACTGTAAAGTCCATGGAGAATAAGAGCACCTCCTCCCAGCTGCCCACTGCACTGAGGCTAGGAAACACTGTCACCACCGATAAATCTACGATAATCGAGAATTTCAATAAGCATTTTGCTACGGCTGGCCATGCTTTCCACCTGGCTAACCCTACCCCGGCCACCAGCTCTGCACCCTCTGCTGCAACTTGCCCATGCCCGCCCCACTTCTCCTTCACCCAAATTCAGATAGCTGATGTTCTGAAAGAGCTGCAAAATCTGGACCCCTACAAATCAGCTGGGCTAGACAATCTGGACCCTTTCTTTCTAAAATTAGCCACTGAAATCAAACTCTCTTTCGTATCATCTGAGATCCCCAGAGATTGGAAAGCTGCCGCGGTCATCCCTTCTTCAAAGGGGGTGACACTCTAGATCCAAACTGTTACAGACCTATATCCATCCTGCCCTGTCCTTTCGAAAGTATTTGAAAGCCAAGTTAACAAACAGATCACCGCCCATTTCGAATCCCACCGTACCTACTCCGCTATGCAATCTGGTTTCCGAGCTGGTCATGGGTGCACCTCAGCCACGCTCAAGGTCCTAAACGATATTATAACCGTGATCGATAAAAGACAGTACTGTGCAGCCGTCTTCATCGACCTGGCCAAGGCTTTCGACTCTGTCAATCACCGCATTCTTATTGGCAGACTAAATAGCCTTGGTTTCTCAAATGACTGCCTCGCCTGGTTCACCAACTACTTCTCAGATAGGGTTCAATGTGTCAAATCGGAGGGCCTGTTGTCTGGACCTCTGGCAGTCTCTATGGGGGTGCCACAGGGTTCAATTCTCGGGCCGACTCTATTCTCTGTGTATATCAATGATGTCGCTCTTGCTGCTGGTGACTCTCAGATCCACCTCTACGCAGACAGCACCATTTTGTACACATCTGGCCCTTCATTGGACACTGTGTTAACAAACTTCCAAACAAGCTTCAATGCCATACAACACTCCTTCTGTAGCCTCCAACTGCTCTTAAACGCTAGTAAAACGAAATGCATGCTCTTCAATCGAACGCTGCTTGCACCCGCCCGCCCAACTAGAATCACTACTCTCGGCGGGTCTGACTTAGAATATGTGGACAACTACAAATACAATGGGGAAAAAAAGTAGTTTGTCAGCCACCAATTGTGCAAGTTCTCCCACTTAAAAAGATGAGAGGCCTGTAATTTTCATCATAGGTACACGTCAACTATGACAGACAAAATGAGGAAAAAAATCCAGAAAATCACATTGTAGGAATTTTTAATGAATTTATTTGCAAATTATGGTGGAAAATAAGTATTTGGTCAATAACAAAAGTTTCTCAATACTTTGTTATATACCCTTTGTTGGCAATGACACAGGTCAAACGTTTTCTGTAAGTCTTCACAAGGTTTTCACACACTGTTGCTGGTATTTTGGCCCATTCCTCCATGCAGATCTCCTCTAGAGCAGTGATGTTTTGGGGCTGTCGCTGGGCAACACAGACTTTCAACTCCCTCCAAAGATTTTCTATGGGGTTGAGATCTGGAGACTGGCTAGGCCACTCCAGGACCTTGAAATGCTTATTACGAAGCCACTCCTTCGTTGCCCGGGCGGTGTGTTTGGGATCATTGTCATGCTGAAAGACCCAGCCACGTTTAATCTTCAATGCCCTTGCTGATGGAAGGAGGTTTTCACTCAAAATCTCACGATACATGGCCCCATTCATTCTTTCCTTTACACGGATCAGTCGTCCTGGTCCCTTTTCAGAAAAACAGCCCCAAAGCATGATGTTTCCACCCCCATGCTTCACAGTAGGTATGGTGTTCTTTGGATGCAACTCAGCATTCTTTGTCCTCCAAACACGACGACTTGAGTTTTTACCAAAAAGTTCTATTTTGGTTTCATCTGACCATATGACATTCTCCCAATCCTCTTCTGGATCATCCAAATGCACTCTATCAAACTTCAGACGGGCCTGGACATGTACTGGCTTAAGCAGGGGGACACGTCTGGCACTGCAGGATTTGAGTCCCTGGCGGCGTAGTGTGTTACTGATGGTAGGCTTTGTTACTTTGGTCCACAGCTCTCTGCAGGTCATTCACTAGGTCCCCCTGTGTGGTTCTGGGATTTTTGCTCACCGTTCTTGTGATCATTTTGACCCCACGGGGTGAGATCTTGCGTGGAGCCCCAGATCGAGGGAGATTATCAGTGGTCTTGTATGTCTTCCATTTCCTAATAATTGCTCCCACAGTTGATTTATTCAAACCAAGCTGCTTACCTATTGCAGATTCAGTCTTCCCAGCCTGGTGCAGGTCTACAATTTTGTTTCTGGTGTCCTTTGACAGCTCTTTGGTCTTGGCCATAGTGGAGTTTGGAGTGTGACTGTTTGAGGTTGTGGACAGGTGTCTTTTATACTGATAACAAGTTCAAACAGGTGCCATTAATACAGGTAACGAGTGGAGGACAGAGGAGCCTCTTAAAGAAGAAGTTACAGGTCTGTGAGAGCCAGAAATCTTGCTTGTTTGTAGGTGACCAAATACTTATTTTCCACCATAATTTGCAAATAAATTCATTAAAAATCCTACAATGTGATTTTCTGGATTTTTTTTTCTCAATTTGTCTGTCATAGTTGACGTGTACGTATGATGAAAATTACAGGCCTCTCTCATCTTTTTAAGTGGGAGAACTTGCACAATTGGTGGCTGACTAAATACTTTTTTTCCCCCACTGTACCTAGGTGTCTGGTTAGACTGTAAACTCTCCTTCCAGACTCACATTAAGCATCTCCAATCCAAAGTTTAAATCTAGAATCAGCTTCCTATTTCGCAAACAAAGCCTCCTTCACTCATGCTGCCTAACATGCCCTCGTAAAACTGACTATCCTACCAATCCTTGACTTCGGCGATGTCATTTACAAAATAGCCTCCAACACTCTACTCAGCAAATTGGATGTAGTCTATCACAGTGCCATCCGTTTTGTCACCAAAGCCCCATATACAGTTGAAGTCGGAAGTTTACATACACCTTAGCCAAATACAGTGCTATGAAAAAGTATTTGCCCCCTTTCTAATTTTCTCTACTTTTGCATATTTGTGATACAGAATGTTATCAGATCTTCAACCAAAACCTAATATTAGATAAAGGGAACATAGTGGACAAATAACACAACAATTACATATTCATTTAATTTATTTCATAAACAAAGTTATGCAACACCCAATTCCCCTGTGTGAAAAAGTAATTGCCCCCTTACACTCAATAACTGGTTGTGCAACCTTTAGCTGCAATGACTCCAACCAAATGCTTCCTGTAGTTGTTGATCAGTCTCTCACGTCGCTGTGGAGGAATTTTGGCCCACTCTTCCATGCAGAACTGCTTTAACTCAGTGACGTGTGGGTTTTCAAGCATGAACTGCTTGTTTCAAGTCCTGCCACAACATCTCAATTGGGATTAGGTCTGGACTTTGACTAGGCCATTCCAAAACTTCCAATTTGTTGCTTTTTAGCAATTTTCATGTAGACTTGATTGTGAGTTTTGGATCATTGTCTTGCTGCATGACCCAGCTGCGCTTCAGCTTCAGCTCACAGACGGATGGTCTGACATTCTCCTGTAGAA